TCTAAAACTATTAAGCTTCGTATTAAAGTGACTTAGCAAATATGTTACATACAAAATTGACAAAACACTATTCGACTCTTTACAAGACTTCGACCCTTACAACTTCCCAGGAGTATGGTCATCGTTATAGCAACGCTATAACCGCTATTTTAATATATTCCATTTGGGCTATTTTACATAAAAACAAAAAAAACTGAGTCATTCCACCCAATAAAATTGTTTTTTCTTAACCCAAATCAAAACTTTTGTGTCATTCCATTGAATAAAATTGTGATTTGTTGAGTGTGATGACTTCCACTGAAACCATGAATGTGTTGTTTTGCTAATTTTGTTTAAAACTTAAAGTACTACAATAGGATTAATTTTCAAATTGTTTAATCATTTTATGTGCTAACTGTGATTGTTTTGAAGTATGAAAAAAAATGATAAATATTGTTTATGTTTTCTTGTTGATTGTGTTAAAGTATGATTAACTATGATATTGGTAACATGTATGTTAAGTATGAATAACTAATTACGATATATAAAGTATGATTTACTGATTAACTAATTAACTGGATTGGATTAAACTTTGAAGTATAATTAACTAATTAATACTATTATGTGTGTGTGTGAGTGTGTGTATATATATAGCGTTATACCACCGCTATACCACTGCGAGAACCGCGTTTTCAAATAGCAACCAATGATCGCTATTATATTTTTACTGCGATAACTGAATAGCACTTTCATTGTAGTCCATCAGAGTCTTCGAAGAATTTCTAAGTACTTACGTCTCAACATATTTTTCTCTTGTTGCATTACAATGTGCTCCTTGAATTTCTCTTCTATTGTAGTCATGTGTTTCGTCAAGGGAGATCTCATCAATGTCATTCGAAATTTCATTTGTAATGGTGTTAAGATCAATGTGAGTTTGTGCATCGAAAACGTTAACCAAAATCGAAATTTGTGACCTCTTAGATTGTATCTCCGATGACATTGGACATGGAGTCCATTTTAGATCTCTTCTCAACATTTCTCATCATCTCTCAAAATCGATAGTATGAACCATCTTCACTCGATATTGCGTTTTCATGACTTTAAACACATCGAAGTCATTGCAATCGCTTTCCTTTTCCAAATTAAGCTTATTGTAGATCGAGTTGAATTTGGAGCACCTTTTCCCAAAGTTTTTTTCTTCATACCAATTTCTCTAGTGTTATTTTATAATGTCCCAAACCACGCTTCCACTAACATAATTTCCTCCTATGTTGTCCACCATTATGGAGCGTCTTGAGCGTCTTTGGTTTTCCCTTTTCGCTTTCCCTTTCCTTTTCCTACCACTTTTGACTTGAGTTTAGATAACAAACTCTATCTATAGTTGTGTGGGTAGCTGTTGTTGGGTAAAAGTTGGTTAACGAGTTGTTTGTGTTTAGAAATTTGGTATGGAAGATGATGTAACGGTTTTGTAGCAAATTTGGTTGTTGCCCATAAACGTTTTGTTGGAAGTATGGTGGTGAAGGAAATTGAATCGAATGTTAGGTAAGGTTGAAATAAGTTTGTTACTATGGTGTTTGCGGAGAACCTTGGGTGTTTAGTAGGTTAAAAAGCCCTCGTATTAAGCGAATCACATGGGAGAGATTGTTTCCGGGTGTGGTTGTAGGTTTGGGCTTTGTGGAGGGTGTTTGGGTTTTGATCCATGTTTTATTTTGGAGTTGTGAAGTTAAGTAAAATAGAAAGAAAGAAGGAATGATGTAAGAAAATGAGTGGGGTGAAATGTTTTTATAGGTAAAAAAATAAATCAAACTGTTTTCTTCTTCTTCCACCTATGTTTCTGTAACGCCTGTGTTTCTGGGCTTGTTATTAATGTGGATATAATAATCTAAGCTAAACTTTGTAACCTGTTTTGAAATAATAGAAGTGTATTATTTGAGTATTATATGTTTTGTGCTTAACTGTGTGACTTAATTGAATTAAGAATAAAAATAAGCATCAAAATGAAATGTTAGATAAGCTCGATATCTATGGATAATGTTGTAGTAGTTGAAATGAGGTTTCCGAATATATAAAGAAGCCAAAATCCGAGTTATAACGAAGAAGTTATGACCTGTCGAAGTTTCGCGACAGAACCGGCAACGTTGAATGATGTAAAAAATGAAATTTACGTTAGAGTGATATTTAGCCTTAGTGATCTAAACGAAAGTCGTAGAGTTCGTTAAACCGAGAGCGTGCATAAAAAGAACGCCCAAATCTGACTTCGTATGAGGAAGTTATGATTTTTCTAAGTTTCGACTTAGCAGTATGCAGCCCGAATACTCGATTTGAGACCGAGCAGTTTTAGCCGAAACAATCTAAACGAGAATCGAAGATCTCATTAATTTTAGTGAAACGATGAAAAGATAGGTGAAAACGGACGTCGGATGAAGAAGTTATGAATTTATAACGGAGTTTTCCTGTCCCGACCTACTAAAATAATATAATAAAAATAAATACAAAACTAGCCAACAGAGTCTAAATGAAAGTTATAGAGCGTAGTCTCACCTACGCGTGGATATAAACAATGTCGAAAACGAAGTTCGTATGAAGAAGATATGAATTTTTGAAGTTTATTAAATAATTAAAATATAAATTTAATTATTAAACTTGATATTATCCGAAGGGGGGTCACGGGACTTATCCGGGTTACACCCAGCGTACAGCGAAGCGTTACCAGCCTTGCACTCGAGTACTCCGAAGACGTAAGCAGTGACGTTTTTTGAGGCGTACGCCTAACGTAATGCAAGGCCTCAGCCTCCTATAAAAGGGCATGCGAGGGCAGCCTAATTCTTTTGCCAAATTCTCTTCTCACTCTCCCGTTTTGCATCGTTTTGCATGCCAGAAATATCCCGAATCCCCGGTATCAATCCCGAGCCCCGAAGCAAGTCCCGAAGCCCCGAAGATCCCGAGAAGTGAAATTTCCGAGCCGAAGCTCTGCCCGCGAGGAGCCCGGTTTTTATGAAGATCTTCTAGATCTACCGAAGAATACTACTTCTACAAGTCGTAGTGTTGTCCGATCATTTTCTGATCAAGTGAGTGTGTAGTTACTTTCTTCTAACGCATAATTATGAAGTATTTTATATAAAATACGTGTTATGTGTATATTTTGTTGTTATGTGTGTGAATGTATATTCACTTTCTTCTATCTCATATATCTGATTTATTCTCTATGAAATACATGTTATGTGTGTGTGCCTCATCTGTTATGTGGAATATGTATTGATTGAACATGCTATACTGGTTTTAAACTATGTATAAAAATATATATTTTTATCTACTAATATGTTGGGTAGAACATGGGTAGATAGTTGATGTGTGATAAACAGATGAGAGGCCTCGATGTTGTTGATCTTGACCTAGTCATCTAGCGGAGTATGGATGACGACCACGGACTTTTTCTAGACAGTCCAGTGGAACGCTAGCAGGTTCATAACCTGTAGGTGTTGTGAACGATGTGTTCACCGGGGTACTCTATCCCCCTCATGGTTTCCTTTAGGATATCTATTGTTGAGGAAACCCCTTAGCAGTAATGTCTATCCCGATGAAAATCCTAGATTAGGTCCCTTTAGATAGATGTTGTTTTATAGACATAAAGTGAGGATAACGGGAATGGGTAATCGGCTTATTGTTGGTTGGTGAAATTAAATATAATTATTTATTGTGGGTTGAAAATCCTATATGCTCACCATGCTCCCAAGCCTGACCCACTCAGTTTATTTGTATTACAGGAAGTGGCGCAAGGGCATAAGATGGATGAATCATCAAGTTGTTTTGTTTACAAGTCTGTATATGTATATATTTGTTGAATGACTTGTAATGTTATCGTTTATGTTTTATGGTCTGTATCGGAACATGACATCCCGAGTTTTGATTATATAATGAAAATGCATCTCTTGATGAAATGCTTTGATGAATATTATTTTATCATATTTTGTTTTTGGGAACAAATTACGCTACTCTTTTAAATCAAAAGGATTTACTTTGAAATTATTTTAAAAAGCATAAATGAAATCGGTCTTTTCTAGCCGAGATTTTGGGGATGTCACAGTTTCCTTGCGTTGAGCCCGACACATTTAGGTGTGGCGGTGTTCTAGGCATGGGCACGTCATTGAGGTTGGCCACCTTAGCCTCCCAACGGCATAGAGGAGCCTATACCAAGTAGCCTAAAGGATTGAAAACGGTATTAGTATTAGCTCAATGGATATAGACATATAGTTTAAGCATAGAACCCTTATGCAATTTTTTAATTTTTTTTTTTTATATATGTTTTAATAAAGTTCCATACACAAATAGGTTTTAAGGATTTATTAAACAAATAAGCTTTTAGCTTAGCAGTTAAGGGGGTGTTTGGATAAATAAGTTTTTAGCTTATTAGCTTATTGTTTATTTGCTTATTATGGTGGGAATAAGCAGTTTTTTAAAAAGTGTTTGGATTACTTTATTGCGTTAGGAATAAACAATAAGCAATAAGTATTTTTAAGTATTTGCCAAACAAAACTGTTTATATGAGTAAAATGACCAAAAAAGGTTTCCTCTTATATTTTAGCATATAATTTTCTTATTTGAACAAAACATTTTTGTTTTTTAAATAATAATAATACTTTTTTATTCATAATAACTAAAAAAAACATTTACCACATTATTTTTACACCTATTTTTACCTAAAAAACATTTTTTTTTATTTATATGAAACCACAAATTTCATTTCAAATCCATATTATCCAACATAGTATCCAAAATATCCAACATACTAACCAAAATAGTTTCATGCTACTACATTAAACCATAAAAATCGTTTCAAAACAAATCATACGCCGTTACGTGCACGAGTGTTTGACCTTGAGAATATTTTTCCTGCAATCATATCGTGTACTGCACTCATATACATATCGTCACTTCTGCGTTGTGTACTTGATACTTCGTCATGTGGCTCAATACCATCATCGGTCCTTCATCATTGCGCGGAATATAAGATTCTTTTTACGCTATTTGAAATGTTGCATCACCATTCTAATGTAATTGTGAATTGTCATTGAAGCTAGCACAAGTTTTACTTGGGTCTCGAAGTTGAAATTTACATGCACATCTCTTAGTAACACCCATTGAGCCTTCCAGACTCCAAAAGTTCGTTCAATTACATTGTGAAGTGACGAATGATAGTAGTTAAATTTTTCTTTGAAGCCTATTGGTTCCCACGAGGCACGAGTTTGCCCACGTCGAAAATCAGGAATATGATAACGGGTGTTTGAACCTTTGTAGGGAGCAAGATAACCTTTTGTATTAGGATATCCAACGTCTACAAGGTAAAACTTATCTATAGAATAAAAAAAAAATTATTCATTTGTATGGTTTGAAAATATAAAACTTCTATTACTAAGTAATGATACTAACCATCGGCTGGAAGTGGAAACTTAACTTCACATCTCCTTCGCGCTTCATTGAAAATTCTCGTGTCATGTGCAATCCTCTCTCATCCAACCCACGCAAAGGTAAAGCACATGTTGAAATCACATGCTGCCATAATATTTTGAGTAACACAATTCTTTCGTCCAATGTATTTGATTTGGTCACGTTGCGGAACAGAGGTCTTCACGTGTGTTCCATCGATGGCACCAATACAATTCTACAAATTCAAAAAATATAATAAGTTACCAATTATTTTTACTATTACACAAATTCACCAAATAATATAACTTTGCAACAAATAAGTACCTTGTAGAATGGATAATACCAAGGGTTATTTAAAATATATTCCGATATAGTTTCGTTGTAGTTAGCATTGGGTTTGATGATGTCCTTACTTAGGTTAACCACAACATCCAAGACTTTATGAAAATGTCTATGGATTGTTTCCCTAGAATGATTAAAGAACTCTTGCACTAACCGATTTCCACATCCATGCGCTAAGTACAACAAGAAAATACCAAGGGACTCTTCAGTAGATACACGACGTGATTTCTTTAACCCATAATGTGCAACCAGATCCCTACATAACATGCTGAAAACCAGGACTTGTAATCTGAAAAGTTGATAACATCAGGCATCATGATCATTAAGTATTTCATTGATAAACATGCTTCCTGTGCGTAAAGATGAACGGCGACGTCTACATACATATTTCGATTTATGAGTCAATAGTAACCATTTGACAACAAGCCCACATAAAAGAAGTGTTTGAATATCTTCATTTTCTCCAATTTCATCACATTAGTCAATATTGACATATGAGTTATCACTTTCACAGTCACTGGTCATTAATATAACTTGTTACTAAACGAAAAGGAAACTAAGGTAAGATTGAAATTTACCACATACTAGATAAAATCATGGCAAGGGCAAAATTGACCACAAAACAAATATGAAACGACATTCCATAAAACAAACACAAAACAAACGTTTAAATGTAACATAATAGATGAAAAGATAGGTCTAACACATGAAAACCGTTTAAAGTCTTCCTAATACATAAAATCATTGAAAAGGAAACAAAAACAAAATCACGGGACAAGGGCAAAATCGACCACAAAAGTTTTGACGGTCGTTTAAAGTCTTCAACTACTTCTCTTTCTCTATAAGCCTCTTGAGAAACTCCATCTTTGTTTCATTAGTCTTTGGAACCATAAAATTCTAACGAGTAGGCTTCTTTAAAAAGACCTCTAACGCTTCTAAATATCCTATTGACCCTTCTTCAAAACCCAAAAAAGTAGAGACAATTGCCATGCAATCTTCTGTTGTGGGTGACTGTGTGGTTTGTCTAGCGGGTTGAGTGCTTCTTGTTAACAAAACATCAAAAATAGTGTCAAGTTTCTCTTCATATGACGAGTTTACCATACTTTTCCATTCATTTTTTCCTTCATTTTTCCTTTCAAATTTTCTTTTGTTGTCACGCCCGGGAGTTAACTTCTTTCCCCTCTTTTTCATACTAGAACTATCATATGTGAGAAAAGGATCAACATCTTCAAATAAGCGGACTTCGTCAGTATCCACTTTTTCATCCGTAATATCCACAAACTGTACATCATCCGGAGTGCTATTGTTGCCAAATTCGCAAGGTACCTTAGCCTTGTTTCCAACAACTATAGTATCCCGAAATAAAGCCTCATAATATGTCTGATATACATCCAAATTCTTATCCTTAAACTTAGCATACTCTTTATCTTTTTATATATACAAAATGAGAATGTCACGAAAACACAATACAAATAATATATTGTTAGATACATTTTTTAATTATTACTTTTATTTTCTCATCCCACCATTTCTTTGATGCTGAGATTATATTTTTCGTAGGATCAATTGAAATTCTCATTTCTAGTCTTGTTAAACGGTCATAATATTTGAACTGTTTCTGCATACTGTCCTATTTGTTTTTCATTTTATTTCTGTCCAATTCTTTAACCATTCGTTCCAAAAGCCTCTTACATATATTTTAGCATGCTGCTTGTTTGAAATAAGTACCCGTTATATTCCCGTTTTTTAGCTCCATCATACATTCCTCAAGAAATATCTTGAGTGTATGAGGATCCTAATGAAACATATTTGTAACTTTCATTTTGGGTGTATTAATATCCACATCATGAACATTGACAGGGTCTATTACCCATATTGCATCATCATAAGGAATGAAAAAAATTCTAAAATTCAAGCTAATGTTGAATCACAACAACAAGAAAAAAATAACCACAAGTTAATGAAGAAAATTCTTAAATACAAACAAGAATCATTACAATCAATAGAAACAAATAACCACAACAATAAAGAAGTAAAAATAGAAGCATGTTAGAGAAATTTATGATCAAACATCATAGGTGCAATTGACAGTGCAGGTAGGAGCAAAAAAAAACTACATCATACAAGAACAATCAGGCGAGAAAAGGAGCAATAACCACAAGCTAATAACAAGAACAATCAAAGAATGAAGAAAAAAGGAACAATCAAGAATGACAAGGGGAAGTCGACTCTTGTTTCTTCATGATCGAACACAACAAAAAAAAATGCATACAGATTGCGTTAACAGGCGAGGAAAAAAAAAAGAAGCAGCAGATTCCTTACCTGATCGTCGATGGCCGATGGTTGGTGGCTTGAAGATCAGCGCTGGCAGCAGGGAGATGGAATAGCAATCGGCAGCAATTGATCGACCAAAAGAGTTATGGGTTTATGTATCGTTGTTTTGAAGGGTAATTACGTAATTTTCGAAATCATTAAAATTAAGCAATAAGCAATAAGCATTATCCCCCTTGCTTATTGAAATCAGCTTATTTAGCTTATTCCTACCACAATAAGCTGATTAGCTACCTATCCAAACACTTCAACTCAGCTTATTGCGGTGAGAATAAACAATAACCAATAAGCAGACCTTTTTTCCCCTATCCAAACACCCTCTAAATACGACTCCCTAGAAGGTACATTTCCAAAGAGTTCGAGTCGTGCAAAACCCCAAGTCTTTGGAGGCATCTTGAAATTCAATAAAAAAAAAATTCTTTGAATACTTCTGTTATTCTTACTTCCGTTGTGTGTCGGGTCCGATCATCAAGGTCTTGATCTTGTGGAGTACAAATGATCATAGGTAAGATTTCAATCTAGAAAACCATGAATCATTGTACTAGGTGACACGTCCATGGTGGTGGATGTACGATTTTTCCCTTCACTTCTTGCTAGTTGATCACAAAATCAGATTTAACATATAGGAACACGGTTTGTTCATCTTTGAATCACACCCAAAGATGTGTTTATTAGCATGAAGTATAAATACGAATATGATCCATTTCCATAATTACAAGGAACGACAACCTTTTTAACTTAGGCTATAATACGAAAGAGCAAACTTGAACGTTGCTAATAATTTCCATTTTCCACCATCAAAGCAAGCCGAAATGCCGAACACTGACAACCTATTCTAATTTGTGGGTCCTATATATTGAGAAAATGTCGGAAAGTTAGATGAAAACGAACCTCACTCCAAAAGTATATGACCGGCGTTCGATCAGTAGTTAGAATTTGCTATTGAGTCCACCATGGAGGTCCTGCCTGATACAAGTGTCGTTGATCTTCATCATCATCCCATGAAATTTGAGAAGCTTGAAGACCAATACTCACACCAGGTTCCTTCCCGTGTTTTGTAGCCCATTCTTCAATAGCGGATTCTCTATCCGCCTCACTTTCAAATTCCTTTTTGTACTTCCCATTCCTAACAGGGTTTAGCCCGGGATTAGCTAGCTCTGAAATTACAGCTGGCATGTACATCGAGTCCCCCACTAGAGGTGCACCACAAGCTGCCAACTGAGCTCGAATCTGTAGAATACAATTTTTATGAAACGACTTGATATGATCGATAAGCAGACATAAAATAAGGGAAAATTGCATGAAATAGCAACATACGTTACTCTTTTTACCAATATGGGCAATGTATTTTATACTTTGCCCATGACAACATAAACAAGATATCGTACTACATTTCTTTACCAATAACATCAATATGTAATGCATTTCGTTACACATTAATAACAATGCACTTACTACTTGCATTTCTTTACCAATAATAGCAATATGTAGAGAAATAAAGTATGTTGCCTATCTTGGTAGTGAAATATAACAACATTGCTATTATGGTAAAGAATAATAAGAAACATTGTTGCATAAATTGATAAAATAAATAATAAATAAATAAACTGTTGCATAAATAAGCAATCAAAATAGCCCTAGAAACATTATTTACCTGGTGAGTACGACCAGTCAAAAGGTTGATTTTGCACTCGAATGCAAAGTCTTTATTCGGCCAATTCAAATCCTGAATTCCATTCTCTTCTTCAATCCAAGCATTTGGCCATGGAACTTTCCTGCATTCCAGGACCTCCAATTGGCACAGATTCCATCCCGGAATCAACTCTGCATATTATATTACAACAATCCATAAATATGATTTCTTTTTTGTTGAACACTGATAATTACAATCACCATAACCTCTCTAAAGACTAAACTTCTGTATAAGGCAAAGATTATTTAAGTATTAGAAAGAAGAAAATTGGAATATCAATATTTACCTTGGGAAACAATTTTTGGAGCCATACGAAATGGTCGCATGTAATGAGTCATGAGTCCAGGTGGCACATAAGCAGCAGCAAGTGCAAGATAAAGCTTCTTCACTTTTTTCTCCTGGTAAATATAAGAAGCATATTCAAATATAAAGTTAGTGACATTGTCATAGAATTTAATTGAACTCCATCCATTTGGCAACCATGGAATGGAATCATGAATTCCAATTTGTCACCGGAATCCAGAAACTAAACACGCCCTTATCAACTTACCCTGATCTTTCTATGAAAAACTGAGCAGTAGTCCTTGGTTTTAGCTAGCACAACACTGCAGATATGATGAGAATGAGGTTAACCCTTTTTCCCTTTTCTTGTTGACACAAAAAGCTATATATGGTTTGGTTTAAAGTTTAAAGTTGAGATCAAATAAAATACCAGCCTTCTGTGCAATTATCAATCTGATGAGTTGTCTTTAATGGAGTAGTTAATTTCAAGGCACGAGTAGCAAAATTTGCACATGTTTCTTCAATGTTGTCTGTAGTTCCACCCACCTAACAAGAAAGGATGTGAGTAAATGTAAATCCCATTTTTATCCTCAATTTCATTTTTCCTCAAATTTAGGGTATCTTGGTAGAAGACTAGAAGTTAACAAATATGTTTTAATCAGCAAGAAGCAATAAATATGATGATAAATTTGATGAGATGAGAATGAAGATGAAGAAGGATAAATGATTGACATACTGATGTGCCAGCTGGTTTGTTAAGAACCACATACGACTCTGTCACAGCAATTATTCTTGACTTCCAGTCAATTTCATAGCATCTGGACAAGAATTAACATCTCAATATTATCACAAGTTCCAACAAAGTAACCTTGTATATGTTTTTTTCTTATTAAGACATTGTACTTTCAAATGAAAGTATGTTGCTATTCCTTGCATTTTACCCTAAAAAAAGTCGATAAATTGTTTTGTATTTGGATGACATGGCTATAACCATGTAGATTTCCAAAGTACAATGCTTAGGAAGAAACACATCAATGAAAGAACATTGCAATATCTTGCATTTAACCTTTACATATATTATTTTCAACTTGTACATATAATACCACTTTATCCCTTATAACTCATTTTCATTGCCATATAAATTTTTAAAAACCAATTCATCTTTCCCATTATAAAAACCGAGTGGATGTTTAATGACCTAAAATTTTCTTTTTCAAGTACCTCGGAAATCGTTTTGGACGAACATGCACCCTCAAGTATGTCCCTGCTTCAACAAATTCATCAATATGAGTAATTCTAAAAGTTTTTTGTGCCTCTCTTAGGGTTTTTCCTTTGATTGAATGTCTCTTTTTGAGAACCAAAGGGTCTGTAACTTGTTTGAACAACTTGATTTCCTCAGGTGTAGCAGTTGAAGGAGGCTTTGGGCATACAAGCGCGTAGAACACTGCTCCAAAATCTATCAGATCTGCAACATACCTTCAATGTTCAAGCATATTAAGCAACTATAAAGTGAGTTTTGAAATTTTTCTATATTTATTCCAAGAAAATGTGTAGTGTGTCTACAATTTAGAAAAGTAAAATAACATATGATAGGAACTCACAAAGGTGGAAGATCCAGAGCTTTGGTAATGAAATCAAGAACAGGTCCTCCTTCTTTAACAACTAAATGCTCAATTCTTGGTAGAAAATTCTCAGTTGGACATGGAAGCAAACGATTATATTCAACATGGCTGAAAGATCAATGAATTTTGCAATCAAAAAACCACACTTTCTATAAATAGACATTATAACCAACAAACGATTGGCTTGAACCTGAGACCTCAAGTTCTTATTACTAGGACAGGTAAATCGAAAAGTATGGATTTTATAAATCAAGAATAGACAATAAAGAAGTTAGATTTATATGAACCTATTTACATCTTTTGAAAATCAAAATCAGACTACTATTTTAAGTTCTAGAGGTCCATTAAACCGACCTCTATATTCCAAACTGAAAACTGGATTATGTAAACTTACCAGATTTGAAAGTGAGTAATTTTTTCTGCAATAAACTGAAGGGAGACAGAATCCAATAATTATCGAGATTATTGGTATATCAATATCTGCATCTCAATCATGTTATGTATTTTGAGGATTTTAGTAGATAGAGTATACAAGTAATTATTGCAAATGACCTAGCGAATAGTACATATATCTATGCTCTGTGTTCGGAAAAATATGCGGTGGGAAGAGGAGGAGATGGAGTACCATTTGGAAATGGGGGTAGATAGATTCGACGTGATAGCTATAGAAGCCACAGAATCAGATGCAAAGGTTCTGCTACAGTTTTTCTGGTAAAAATTCAAGTCGGAATCCCAGTTTGAACAGCCAAACCTCTTGTTTTTTTGGCGGTTGTAGTGGCGGTGGCTGGTGGCCGCAGATAGTGTTCGTAGTATGGTGACAGGGACAACAACAATGCCCCTGTAGTTGGGAATCCACAGCAGTGATGAAACCATCGCCATTTCTGTAGTGTGCACTTTGCAGGGGTGTAGAGAGGAAACGAGGGGTTGAAGATGATTTAAGACGTATGGGCCTAGCAGATCGGGTTTATGACTATGTTTATATATGGCCCATGGTGGAGTACATGGAAAACCGGTAATGGGATTTTAACGAGAACAAAAATCTAATAGTTTTTTTTTTTTTAAATTATTAAAATTGCAAGTGTGATATATCTAAGCAAATCGATCTCCATCTTAATTACATCGTTTTTTTTGTAAGGTTGTAGTATGATTAGATCGTAAAATCGTTGAATCAATCTTACGATTGTTGCTATTTTTTCTTTTAATTTAAATTTTTTCTTATTCTAACAATGTAGAATATCCATTTTGAATTTCCTAGGATGTTTTTGTTTCACATAATTGTTAAGAGATTAAAACGAATTAAAAACAAAAATTGTTAGGGATCCCGTGTGGGTTACCAGAAAAATGGAATTAGATTTCCAAAATTATCATTTAATTTCTGGTTTGAAAGAATTCTAATTCATCCACTGTGTATCAAAAATGTATATTCAATTCATTATCTTTATTTTAAATTACACATTACCCTCCTATTATCTATGAGACTAAAAAATAAAAAATAAAAATTACATGATTTTTGCTTCTATTTTACTTTTTCTTTTTGACTACAGAGTTTTTTTTTATTCCTTCTTTTTACCACTTGTGCTTGTTTTCTTTAAGAAAATAGGGAAAATCCTTAAATTATTTAAAATTCACTACTAGTAACCACTAATTTCACAAAAATAGTTGACAAATTGTTTAGTTTTTACTTTCATCTGCATTTATATTTGAAAACTTGTTTTTTAATTTAAATTTTGTAGAAGAATTCAATAAACAATGTTGTAATTAAATAAAAAATCATCATGTTTATTAAAAAATATAATTTGTTGCAAAAAGTTGTTATGGGTATTTCTATCATATTACAAAATTTATTTTTTAATTCGTTTCTGAAATCAGCAAACCAAACAGAAAATAGATTTCATTTCATGTCAACCAAACACAAAACAGATTCTATTGCAGCTTCTAGTACATTCATATTTCAATTCCTTCATATTCTAACTCTTTTGATAGATTTCATTCCTTCTAAAAATATTTTGCGAATCAAACGCCCCTTTATAGTTAAATGATGTATTAGATATGTTTTTTAATGTTTTAAACTACTTATTGGATGAAGATGTATTTTTTATGTTTTAAAATTTTTTTTGTAGGATTTAAGTCGATCTTACGATCACGATCTTGCAAAACAGAAAATAATCCTATATAAGATCTCGATCTTGAAAACCTTTGTTTTTTTTCTATTTTGTGTAGACATGGCAAACTTGTCATGTTGTGTTAAAATATTGTTGGGTATTTAGTGTTGCGTCTTTTGGGCTCTTTGTTTAGTCATTTTGTGTATTCGAGTTGGTCATGTCCACTCGTGAGTTATTAATTAGTGTTTTACTATTTAAGATACATGCATGCATCGTGTATTCAGTAATCGTGTCATTGTAAACCCTACATAGCCTATACAGTAGCAGTTTTTTATCGAGCTCTTCTGAGACCGTGACTTTTAATCATTCGACGCATTCTTGATTCATATTTTGTGTTTGATTGTTTTTACCTGTTTGAATATATTTGATCCTCAGAGTTTTCAACTCAACAATTGGTATCAGAGCAGGAGAATGTGTAATCTATACGCATCTTTTCTGCTGAAAGAGTTTTTAGGGTTTCTGTTATTATTGGATTTGGTTCAGTCGTCATCATTGTTATTGACGTTGATCTTTGATCTTCATATTACCCAAAAACAATTTTAGTTTACACATCTGATTCATACAGGTTTTAATTGATCTTTAAACATGTTAGACAATTCTCAAGTTAACTCAATAAATCTTTCAAGCAACATTGGATCCACAACCAGAATCCCTATTCTTTTCCCCCAATGATTATGAAGTGTAGGTGTTGCATTTTGAAGACTACATCCTTGTGCTTGAAGATAATGGCTATCTCATATGGGAAGTCATTACTGTTCAAACGTAATGTTGGGTTTTTTAGCATTCTAACACTCTTATGGTGTACATGCAACCCTAAATACTTTGGATCTATGTTTTCTCTATTATACATGTAAATATTAACTTTCCAAGGTATTACCCTATCTAGCATACAATCTTTAATACTTGGGTAATATAATAGATAGAATACATACCTTTTGATGTAACTTGTCTTCATGAAGCTTGAGTGCCTAGTGCCCCAAGTGTGACACCTCAAATGGTTCACACAACACCAAGAACACTTGGAATAACCTTGACAATAAGGATACTTTGGTTCTCTTTAGTGAAATCGGCATTGCCCTTTTGGTGTACACACTAGTGCCCATTTCACCAACCAAGGACATCTTTATATAGTGTGGAGACTAGGGTTAAACCCATGACCCTTCATTTCATATGATCCATGGGTTAAACACTCCATGGACTATCCATGAAAGCTTAGCCCAACCTAAATGAACTTGGCCCATCACACATATATATCTAAGAGTCCATATTTAATTAGTTCCTTTTGATCACTTAATTAATTATAAATTAATTCTTGATCAATACTAATTAAATAATATGATTATATATTAATATATTAGAATTTATAATATATTAATATAAATCACTAGTATCCTTTTTCCTCATATTGTCTATCCAATTGTCCCGATGCCATGCAACCCAAATGGATCATGTTGGGTCGGGTCAAGTCTTACCAATTATAGTTATGGACTTAGACATTAATCCAACAGTTTAGGAAGTTGATCTTCTAATCAAATTTTCTTTACTAGTCCTCCTAATCATTATTGATTTAGAAGCACCAAGCAAATAGATAAGATCATTAAGGGTCATGTCATAGTCTGTTCCATATTAGTCCTAAAGGAACTCACTATGTGACATAGAAAGTGATTGAACATCCAACTTTCTCAAGACTTTGACACCCAACTCTCTTGGCTTGTCAATATGTGACTTTATCTCCAAGATGTGAGCACACATAGACTTTGCTTTCCAATAGGGCTTGAGTGACCTTGAACTTGTGGGTTAGGGAGAATAATTTGAGGAGATGGATGAAGTGAAGTTCCAAGAGATTTGGGAAGATCATAGATGTCTGAATTAGACATCTTTTGGGAGATATTCAAGATAGTTGATTTAAAGTCCTTAATATAACACCCAATATGAAATATTAAGGCTAGGACCCAACACAATATTTTATAACTTGGAAGAGGGATGTCATAAACCAAGCTATAGAATATTTGAAGGTGGGTGTGTAACACTGTAAAATTTAAAACAAATTTTCACATTTTTAAACACATTTTATCAAACACATTTAAAAACAAAATCCCATTGTTTCAATACTTTGGTTTACAAAGTTATATTCCCAAGATCAAATACATAAAAATCCATGTGTGTGTACGAGTCACGCCGGCGCCTTCCCGCGATCATCACTGGTACCTGAAACACATAACACATAACACTGTAAGCGTAAAGCTTAGTGAGTTCCCCAAGATACCATACATATCACATACTAGCCACTCGGGGCTATAACTCTGTGGGCCCGTAGGCCCTAACTCTGTGGACCCTCTAGTCCTAACTCTATGAACCTTTTGGTTCTAACTCTGATATACTATGATATACACATGATATAAACCACATAGAAGCAATGCAGTATAACACATCACATAATAGCATACGATAACTCTGGCACATAACTCTAATTACCACTCTAGGTAAAGTATAGTGAGAAGACTCACCTCAGATGTCCCGGTAAATCACTGACTCGGTAGAAATACGATCTAGCCTCCGCCTAAACACATAGAGTAATACTCTCATAAATATAACTCTCAGAACTAGACTCTACTCTCTCTAAGCACCCTTAGAAGGGTAAAAGACCATTTTACCCCTCCTTTGGCTCAAAGCCCCTCATTGTTGACCAAACCCAAAAAGTCAACCAAAGTTAACGGTCAGACTTTGACCCAACTCGGCGAGTGCACTTGGGCAACTCGGCGAGTCCACCTGTGTCCACTTAACTCTTTAGTCCCATTTAACACGTCGAGTCCCTCCCTTTACTCGACGAGTCCCCAGGTAAGAATCGCGGGGCTACCCCGACTCAACTCGCCGAGTCTCAAGAACAACTCGGTGAGTACATGCCATGCACAACCTCCATTGACCTCCTGAGGTCAGATCTGTTCCTCAAATCCATAGATCTGTCCTTCCTAAGCATAATAATCACGTAAAGTCCAAACCTTGACACTCGTATATCATCTAGATGGTATCATTTGGAGATTTAGCTCTAAAAATGGCATTCTAAGCTCATAACTCCCAAGATAACTCATAAAGCTCCAAGGATTAAGGTCTCTGGACCTCTTTGAGTCTAAATCCAAAGCATAAACTCGATAAGGGACCAATTGCTCCACATAAACATCCTCAAAGGAGGTTAGAAAACCCTAACTCTAGGTATCAATACCAAAACTGAAGAAGGTCCAAATAAATACCTCACGTTGACGTCTCTGAACTCTGAAACCACTAGAACCACACCTCCTTCAGTTTCCTCTTGCTCTTGATCACCTTCTTCTTGATAAAACAAAGATAGAAAGGTCAAATATGGCTTCTCCTTCCTCCCAAACCATCTATCTCACTTAGGGGATCTCAAAGGACTGGTAGCCGCAATGGAAGGCTAAGAGTGCCCTTAAATAGGCTCCACCCCTGGAGGATTAGGGTTTCATTAAACAGCGTGGACTCGCCGAGTCCACTCATGGACTTGCCGAGTCCAACGCAAACCCAGATGATCAACCGCGACCCTACTCGGCGAGTCTAAGCATCAACTCGCCGAGTTCCTTCACAAATTCCAAAAATAAAATATTAGAATAATATACCTGGGATTCCGGATGTTACAAGGTGAATGACGATTTACCAATTTCAACCATGAAAAACGAAATAATTTATTAGGTTTTTATTTGAAACTCCTAGATCTTTTGAGATTCATTGAACTGTTCAATGGTATGTTTCAATCTCGAGTGTGCCCTTCGGGTTTTTTTGACTAGGATGTCGAGGATCACAAAACAAGG